GCCACAGGGTGGCCTCAGAGCAGCCAATCAAAGAACTAGCTCTGTAGGCCTGGGCCTTGCCATCTAGATGGGGAAATATGAGACTATGGTTTTCAGGCTTATCTAAGTTTGTGAATCTGGCATGCTGTGTTCCCCGAGGTAATATGGGCCCATTCCCTTCACCCACCATCGAACTCAAGTGTTTATTCTACCACACAAACAGGGATTTGATTAAAAACCCAAGAGATTCAGTTTAAAATAAAACTCACCTCCAACAAGTCCTACTTGGGTAGCACCACTTCCTTCCGTGGAAGTAGTGGCCTCTGATAGAGAAAAGAAGGGAAGGAGTAAGACTAGGTGGTGGGAAGGAACACACTTGGCTATTGCCAGAATAGATCATACAAGCTACCAATGTCAAGTTTTTACTGTATTTTCAGATTTGCCTGTGACATATCTTCCAGGTTTCAGAGTGTTTCCAGAGACTTTTCCAATATTACTTACAAGAAGAAAATGGTGGTGGTCCTAGCTCAATTGTTTTTTCAACCACATGATTTTAAAGAAAAAATCTACATCTTTATGTAATAGCAAACTATAACCCTGTCACTTTAACTGCCAAGAAGTCATCCAAAGTGCCCCAATGCAACATTTTTTTCTATAACTATTTTACCTCGTTCTCAACTATCATGTCTCTTTTTATGGAGGGAACATAGAAATATCTCTCTATATATTACCTATTTATTGGTCATTGCTTAGACTCATGGTTGTCTACTGAAGGCCCTTGTAAGCTTAGGCAATAAGGAGGCAATGTAATGTGTAGCTTATCTTTTTAAAATCTGAACTTTCCCAGCAGTAACATATATAAATGGTGTAGAAAATTTTTACAAGACTGTTTTAAGAAGGTTATTATGATATGCAGGTATTAGCTTAGGAACACTCCCCTGTGTCTATTCTAATTCTAGTTGTGCCACTTTGAATGTGTTGGCCACTCTAGAAATAGGTTAGAAAATATGTAATGAAAGAATATTTCAGGATCATTGAAAATACATGGTGGTAGTCTCACAATGAATAATATCAGTGCAGACAACTAATCTTTGAGAGGGCATGAGAAAATCCTATGTCACCCTGTTGCCTTCCCTATGTTGGAAGTGCCAGGAACAACAGTTGTGCCAAGGGCTATTCCAGTTGTGCCTGAAACACAAAAGCTGTGAAATCTTCAACATGTGTCCTGTGCATTTTCTGACATCCTCCCTCCAGAAGGGCTGTAGGCGTATCTTTGTTATAGCAAAGGGCCCTGTCTCTACTTCCTAATGAGGTGAGAATCTGGTTTAAATATGACCAATATCAATCAGTAAGACAGCAATAGAAACAGTAATGTTGCCCTGACGATTTTGGCTCAGTGGATAGAGCGTCGGCCTGCAGCGTGAGTGGTCCCAGGTTCGATTCCGATCAAGGGTATGTACGTTGGTTGCCAGCATATCCCCAGTGGGGGGTGTGCAGGAGGCAGCTGATGGATGTTTCTCTCTCATTATGTTTCTGACTCTCTGTCCCTCTCCCTTCCTCTCTGTAAGGAATCAATAAAATATATTTTAAAAACAAAACAAAACAAACAAAACAAAAAAACAGTAATGTTCTCAGCATGAGAAACTGCCTCAGAAATTCCATTCAGTCAAATACGGCAAAGAGGGGCGTTTCCCCTATGTTCATGTATCATCCTCACAGTGGTGCCTACTTTGCATGGACAACCAGTAAATATTTTAATGTCTCAGAAAAAATATTGATATCATTATTGGCATTTTGAGCGAGAACCCTTTGCATAGGATATGCCTGTTTAAGAGTTCACAATGCATTTCCCTTTCCTCAGATATATAATATTTCTCATCTCACAGTGACATCCTAGTGATGTCTGAGCTATGACAATTTAAATTTCTCATACTGATTTCACCAGCAGCCTTTCCTTACAAAGTTACACCTGCAAGACTGGAAGCCAATATTGAGAGTTTTCCAAAATATGGTAAATCTAAGAACTGGAAGCAAATGAGAACCACTCTACACGAAAGCACCCCTCCCAGCAGTCAGGCTAAGAAGAGCCATCATTAATGGTAAACCCCAACAGCGGAAACTCTTCCTCACCAGTTCTGAATCCACTTCCAGATGTGCCACGGCCTTCTGTTGATGTTGTAGCCTCTGAAGGGAGAAAATGGCGAAGGATTAGGAATGAGGATTTGTGATATGATAGAAGAATTATGTTGATATTGTATCATTGGAGACATAATGCTATTGGGTTTAAATATGGAAATTTCTTCTTGTGAACCTATCTGTGTGGGAACCCCCAGTTATAATGCTTGCCCTAGTGAATTCCTGTGTAGCACCAAAAATCAGGAAGATTAAGCCATCAACACAGCAGTAGCTCCCTCTTCAGTACTAAAGCAGCTGTGTGTCCTTGAATGACCAGAAGACCTTTCCTTAGGATTTTAGTTTCATAAGGACATGAATTGTCAATGACTTTCCACAATTTCATCTCCTAACCACCTATGTAATATTGTTGCTACTGGTGTTCTCTTTCTCATCAGTTCCAGGAAAGTGAAAGGAGTCCTTATGTCACCCTCACCTTTTTCAGTTCCAGTCCCAGGACTCCCTGGTGCAACAGAGGTACCTACAAGGGGAAAAGGGGAACATGGTGTTTATTCTGTAAAAGTAAGTTATCAATTACCTGATAGCTCTTGACATTCCAAGGTTTGAAGTAGAACTTTGTGACTAATACTCTCATATGGTGAATTTTCTTAGTGACCCTACCTGGCTTGGTTTTCTGTGAACTGCTGCTGGCTCCAGGTGAAAGTGTTGTGGTACCTATTAAAGCAAGTAGTGTGAGCTTCAAAATCAATACACATTTCATGATTCCACAAATATTTATTAAGCATCTTTTCTATGTAATAATGTTTTAGGCATTTGGATATGTCAGTGAGCTGAATATTCAAAGATCCCTCCCCTAATGTAGCTTATATTCTAGCACGTGGAGACCAACAATGATCATGAAATGACCAAACATGAAAAGTCAAAATGACAGATGTTAGTAAAGGCTATAAGAAAATTTCCAACCATATATAAAAGTTGGGGCCTTGATAGGCAGGAGGAGGGCCACAGGGTGGCCTCATACCTGCCAATCAAAGACCTAGCTCTGTAGGCCTGGGCCTTGCAATCTAGATGGGGAACATGAGACTATGGTATTCTGGCTTATCTAAGTTTGTGACTCTGGCACGCTGTGTTCATTGAGGAAATTCAGGCCCATTTTTTTGCCCACCTTCCCACTCAAGTGTTTATTCTACCACACAAACAGGGATTTGATTAAAAATCCAGAGATTCAGTTTAATATAAAACTCACCTCCTGCAAGTCCTGCTTGGGTAGTTCCACTTCCTTCCGTGGAAGTAGTGGCCTCTGATAGAGAAAAGAACAGAAGGAGTAAGAATAGGTGCTGGGAAAGAACACACTTGGCTTTTGTCAGAATAGATCTTACAAGCTGCCAATGTGAAGTTTTTACTGTATTTTCAGATTTGCCTGTGACATATCTTCCAGGTTCCAGAGGTTTTCCAGAGACTTTGTCAGTATTATTTACAAGAAGAAAATGGTGGTGATCCTAGCTCATTTGTTTTTTCACCGCATGATTTAAAAAAAAATCTACATCTTCATGTAATACCAAACGATAACCCTGTGTCTTTTAGTGATAAGGATTCATCCTTATGTGCCCCACGTAACATTTTTTTTTCTATAACTATTTTATTTGAGTTCTCAACTATCATGTCTCTTTTTATAGCGGGAAGAGAAAAATATCTCTCTATATACTACCTATTTATTAGTCATTGTTTAGACTCACAGTTGTCTACTGAATGCCTTGTAAGCTCAGGCAATAAGGTGGCAATGTAATGACTAGCTTTTCTTTTAGAAACCTGAACTTTCATAACATAACATATATAAACAGTGTTGAAAATTTTTGGAAGATTGCTTTAAGCAGGTTGTCATGAAATGTAGGTGTTAGCTTAGCACCACTCCCCCGTGTATATTCAAATCTAGTTGTGCCACTAGTATTATGGCCACTGGGGGAAATAGGGTGGGAAAAAGGTAATGAAAGAATATTTCAGGATCACTGAAAATACAATGAATAATATCAGTGCAGACAACTAATCTCTGAGGGGGCATGAGAAAATCCAATGTCACCCTGTTGCCTCCCCTATGTTGATAGTGACAGGAGCAACATTTGTGCAAAGGGCTATTCCAGTGATGCCCAAAACAAAAGGTTTGAGATCTTCAACATGTGTTCTGTCCATCTCCTGATGTCCTCCCTCCAGAAGGGCTCTAGGTGTATCTTTGTTATAGCAAAGGACCCTGTCTCTACTTCCTGATGAGATGAGAATCTGTTTTTGCTATGACCAATATCAGTAAGAAAGTAATAAAAACAGTAATGTTCTCAGCATGAGAAACTGTCCCAGAAATTCCATTCAGTCAAATTTGGTTAAAGAGGGGCCTTTCTCCTACATTCATCTCTCATCCTCACAGTGGTGTCTACCATACAAGGATAAACAGGAAAATATTTCAATGTCCCAGAAAAATATTGATACAATTATTGGCATTTTGAGCAAGAACACCTGTGCATAGGATATGACTGTTTAAAGAGAACACATTGCTTTTCCCTCTTCTCACATATATAATATTTCTCATCTCACAGTGACACCCTAGTGACGTCTATGCCATCACAAGTTAAATCTCTCATACTGATTTCACCAGCAGCCTTTCCTTACTAAGTTACACCTGTAAGACTGGAAGCCAATATTGAGAGTTTTCCAAAATATGGTAAATCTAAGAACTGGAAGCAAATGAGACCCAGAAAATGGTGAAGGGTGAGGAATGTGGATTTGTGATATGAGAGAAGAATTATGTTGATATTGTATCAGTGGAGACATATGATATTGGGTTTAAATATGAAGATTTCTTCTTGTGAACCCTCTGTTGTGGGAAACCCAGATATAACGATTTTCCTAGTGAATTCTGTGGAGGAATTAAATATGAGAAAGATAAAGCCATCAACACAGCATTAGCTCCCTCTTCAGTACTGAAGCAGCTGTGTGCCCTTTATTGAACAGAAGAGCTTTCCTTAGGATCTCTTGTTTCAGAGGGAACATAACTGTCCACAACTTTCCAGAAAGTCCTTCCTTGCCCACCTATGGATCATTTTTGTTACTGGAGTTCCCTATTCCAAGATCCTAGTGAAAGAGAAAGGAGGTCTTATATCACCCTCACCTGTTTCACTTCCAGTCCCTGGACTCCCAGGTGTGACAGAGGTGCCTAAATGAACAAAAGGGCAGATGATGCTTCATTTTTGTAAAAGTTCATCATCCATTACCTGGGCTTTGGACTAAGAAGCTTACCTCCTGGCAATCTTCCCTGCGTAGCCTTACTGCCTCCTATGGATGTTGTGGATTCTAAGAGAAAGGGGGAAAAATAACTCTTGTTATTCCACTATCTTCTACACAATTCCTGGCCACCAATATACAGGAAAAGATAATAGAGATCATTGAAAATTATCTGAGGACCACAGAAAGTAAGGTAGTTCTGCTACACAGGATAATAATAGAGGAGAAATCTCATCTGAAAGATTCGCTGTCTCCTTGTTGACTTACCAGTGTTGGAACTGCCAGGTGCAACAGTTGTAGCAACAGCTGGTCCAGTGGTGCCTGAAACATAAAATTTCTGAGATCTTCAATGGTGCCTCTTGTTGACTCCTATACAGCTCCTAAAGATCTGCCTCTAGAAGAAATCTAAGTGTATCTGTTATATCAAAGGGCCCTTTCACTACTTCCTGATGTGTTGACAATCATATACCTTTCCTATAATCCATACAACTAAGAAAGTAGTAAAAATTGCAATATCTCCAATGTAAGGCACCCTCTACAGATATTCCATTCACTTAAATTGAAGAAGAAAGCTGGGTTTCTCCCAGGCTCACCTGTCACACTCCCAGTTGCTTGGCCTGGTGGCAATGCAGTGGCGCCTAATGTGAGAGGAAAACCAGAAAACTATTTGAAGGTGCCAAAAAATACTGACTATCCTTATTGCACTTTTAAGCAAGCGGACCTATATGTAGCACAGGCTTAAGAGTTCACATTGCTTTCTCTTCTACACACATATAGAATATTTCTCAGGTCTTCTATCATCTTAGTGATGTATATGCCATCAGAGAGGAAACCTCTTACAGGGATTTCGCCAATAGCCATTCGTAAGGCAGTTACAGCTGTGAGGCATGAGCAGGCATTGACAGTTTATTGCTACTATGTTCAATCAAAGAAAATACTGAGTAAATACAAACAACTCTGCAGGACAGAACACCTCCAAAATGGGAGCTTGTGGAGAGTCCTAATTAACAGTAAACCCCAACTGTGAGGTACTCATTCTCACCTGGTCTGGATCCTGTTTCAGGAGTGCCAGCTGAAGGAAGAAATGAGGAATGGAGAGGTCAGAGGATTTGGGATATTAGGGAAAAAATTGCTGACATATTAGGTCAGAACAAGAATACTAACTACAGTATGTGGTTAAATATGAAGATTTATTCTTGTTATCCTATCTATGTGGGACTCCCAGGTGTAATAGTTGGCCTAGAGAATTTCCCTCAATAAGCCTGTTTAAGAGTTCTCATTGTTTTGGCTCCTTCCCAGAGACATAATATTTCTCAGCTACTCCTAACATCTTAGTGATGGGTATGCCATCACAGGATAAACTGCTCATATTGATTCTAACACCATCCCCTCTTTAGAATGTTACAACTGGAATGACTAGAAGCCAGTGTTGAGAACTTTTCCAAAATATATTACATCTAAGAACTGGCAGCATGTGTGAACCACTCTGCAGGAAGGCACAGCTCCCAGCAGGCCAGGTTAACAATAGTCACAGTTAATATTAAACTCCCAGCTGCAGGAGCTCTTACTCACCACCTCTGAATCCAGTTCCAGAAGTGCCACTGCCTTCTCTTAACGTTGTGGCCTCTGATGAAAGAAAATGGTGAAGGGTGAGATTGGAGCAATTGGGATATTAGGAAAAGGATTATTTGATATTTTATCAGAGCAGAGGTAATATCTATATTATGGTTTTAAATATGGAGATTTCTTCTTGTTAACCTACCTGTGTGGGAACTCCCATGTATAATGGTTGTCCTGGGGAATTCCTGTGTAGAACCTAAAGATGACAAATATAAAGGCATCAACACAGCATTAGCTCCCTCTTCAGTACTGAAGCAGCTGTGTGTCCTTGAATGACCAGACGACCTATCCATAGGATCTCTGTTTCAGAGGGAACATAACTGTCCATAACTTTCCACAATGTCCTTCCCTGCCCCACCTATGGATCATTGTTGCTACTGGAGTTCCCTTTTTTATTGATGCCAAGGAAAGAGAAAGGAGGTCTTATGTCACCCTCACCTGTTCCACTTCCAGTCCCTGGACTCCCTGGTGTGACAGAGGTGCCTAAAGGAAGAAAAAGGCAGATGATGCTTTATCTTTGTAAAAGTTCATCATCAATTACCTGAAGACTTTTGACACTGCAACGTTTAAAATAGAAATGTGTGACTCTAAAACTCTCATATGGTGACTTTACTTTTGACCCTACCTGGGTTGGTTTTCTGTGAACTGCTGCTGGCTCCAGGTGAAAGTGTTGTGGTACCTATTAAAGCAAGTAGTGTGAGCTTCAAAATCAATACACATTTCAAGATTCCACAAAGCTTTATTAAGCATCTTTTCTATGTAATAATGTTTTAGGCGCTTACATATGTCAGTGAGCAGAATATTCAAAGATCCTTCCCCTAATGTATCTTACATTCTAGCAGCTGGAGACCCACAGTGATCAAGAAACATGAAAAGTCAAAGAGACAGATCACAACATTAGCTCCCTCTTCAGTACTGAAGCAGCTGTGTGTCCTTGAATGACCAGAAGACCTTTCCTTAGGATCTCTGTTTCAGAGTGAATGTAACTGTCCATAACTTTCCACAATGTCCTTCTCTGGAAATCTCCATATTTAAAACCATAAATTAGTAAAGAGAAGGACATTGTTGCTACTGGAGTTCCCCTTTTTATGGATGCCAGAGAAAGTGAAAGGAGGCCTTATGTCACCCTCACCTGTTTCACTTCCAGTCCCTGGACTCCCAGGTGTGACAGAGGTGCCTAAAGGAAGAAAAAGGCAGATGATGCTTCTTCTTTGTAAAAGTTCGTCATTAATTACCTGGGCTTTGGACTAAGAAGCTTACCTCCTGGCAATCTTCCCTGGGTAGCCTTACTGCCTCCTGTGGAAGTTGTGGCTTCTAAGAGAAGGGAAAAAGAGAAAAAACTGTTGTTATTCCACCATCTTCTACAGAAGTCCTGGCCCCCAAAATAGAGGAAAAGAGGATAGTCATCCTTGAAAATTATTTGAGGAACACAGAAATGTAAGGTAGTTCTGCTACACAGGATAATAATAGAGGAGAAATCTCATCTGAAAGATTCCCTGCCACCTTGTTGACTCACCAGTGTTGGAACTGCCAGGTGCAACAGTTGTGCCAACAGCGGGCCCAGTGGTGCCTGAAACACAAAAGTTCTGAGATCTCCAACATTGCCTCTTGGTGACTCCTATACAGCTCCTAAAGAGCTGCCTCTAGAAAGAATCTAAGTCTATCTTTGTTAAATCAAAGTGCATTTCACTACTTCCTGATGAGTTGACAATCATATACCTTTCCTATAATCCATACCACTAAGAAATTAGTAAAAATTGCAGTATTTCCAATGTAAGGGACCCTCTACAGACATTCCACTCACTTAAAATGAAGAAGAAAGCTGGGTTTCTCCCAGGCTCACCTGTCACACTCCCAGTTGCTTGGCCTGGTGGCAATGCAGTGGCGCCTAATGTGAGAGGAAAACCAGAAAACTATTTGAAGGTGCCAAAAAATACTGACTATCCTTACTGCACTTTTAAGCAAGCGGACCTATATGTAGCACAGGCTTAAGAGTTCACATTGCTTTCTCTTCTACACACATATAGAATATTTCTCGGGTCTTCTATCAACTTAGTGATGTATATGCCATCAAAGAGGAAATCTCTTACAGGGATTTCACCAATAGCCATTCGTAAGGCAGTTACAGCTGTGAGGCATGAGCTGGCATTGACAGTTTATTGGTACTATGTTCAATCAAAGAAAATACTGAGTAAATACAAACAACTCTGCAGGAAAGAACACCTCCAAAATGGGAGCTTGTGGAGAGTCCTAATTAACAGTAAACCCCAACTGTGAGGTACTCATTCTCACCTGGTCTGGATCCTGTTTCAGGAGTGCCAGCTGAGGGAAGAAATCAGGAATGGAGAGGTCAGAGGATTTGGGATATTAGGGAAAAAATTATGTGTATACCATCACAGGGAAAACTGCTCATTTTGATTCTAACACCAGCCCCTCTTTAGAATGTTACAACTGGAACGACTAGAAGCCAGTGCTGAGAGCTTTTCAAAATGTTACAGCTAAGACTGACAGCATGTGTGAACCACTCTGCAGGAGAGCACAGCTCCCAGCAGGCCAGGTTAACAATAGTCACAGTTCATATTAAACTTCCAGCTGCAGGAGCTCTTACTCACCACCTCTGAATCCAGTTCCAGAAGTGCCACTGACTTCTGTTAACGTTGTGGCCTCTGTTGAAAGAAAATGGTGAAGGGTGAAGGAATTGGGATATTAGGAAAAGCATTATTTGATATTTTATCACAGCATACCTAATATCTATATTATGGTTTTAAATATGGAGATTTCTTCTTGTTAACCTACCTGTGTGGGCACTCCCAGGTATAATGGTTGTCCTGGGGAATTCCTGTGTAGAACCTAAAGATGACAAGATAAAGGCATCAACACAGCATTAGCTCCCTCTTCAGTATGGAGGCAGCCGTGTCCCCTTGAATGACCAGAAGACCTATCTTTAGGATCTCTGTTTCAGTTCTGTTTCAGAAGGACATGAACTGTCAATGACTTTCCACAATTTCATCTCCTAACCGCCTATGTAATATTGTTGCTACTGGTGTTCTCTTTCTCATCGATCCCAGTAAAGTGAAATGAGTCCTTATGTCACCCTCACCTGTTTCAGTTCCAGTCCCAGGACTCCCTGGTACAACAGAGGTACCTAAAGGGGGAAAAGGGAACATGGCGTTTAGTCTTTGTAAAAGTTAGTTATCAATTACCTGAGGGTTCTTGACATTCCAAGGTTTAAAGTAGAACTTTGTGACTAATACTCTCATACGGTGAATTTTCTTAGTGACCCTACCTGGTTTGGTTTTCTGTGAACTGCTGCTGGCTCCAGGTGAAAGTGTTGTGGTACCTATTAAAGCAAGTAGTGTGAGCTTCAAAATCAATACACATTTCATGATTCCACAAATATTTATTAAGCATCTTTTCTGTGTAACAATGTTTTAGGCATTTAGAAATATCAGTGAATAGAATATTCGAAGATCCCTCCCCTAATATGGCTTACATTCTAGCAGCTGGAGACCAACAGTGAACAACAAACATGATTAAGTCAAAGTGACAGATGTTAGTAAAGGCTATAAGAAAATGTCCAACCATATATAAAGGTTGAGGCCTTGATAGGCAGGAGCAGGGCCACAGGGTGGCCTCATACCCGCCAATCAAAGAAGTAGCTCTGTAGGCCTGGGCCTTGCCATCTAGATGGGGAACATGAGAATATGGTTTTCAGGCTTATCCAAGTTTGTGACTCTGACATGCTGTGTTCCACGAGGAAATACAGGCCCATTTCCTTCGCTCATCTTCCCACTCAAGTATTTATTCTACACACAAACAGGGATTTGATTCAAAACCCCAGAGATTCAGTTTAAGATAAAACTCACCTCCTACAAGTCCTGCTTGGGTTGTTCCACTTCCTTCCATGGAAGTAGTGGCCTCTGATAAAGAAGGGCAAGAGTA